CCAGTCAGAGTCACAGTAACCAATTAACTCTAATGAAGTTGGTCGTCGAAGAAAGATACCTTGGCCCGGACTGTGCTTTAAGTAACGTAGTATGCGTGTGGCGGCATCCCAATGACTCTCTCGCGGTTGCTGCATGAACTGTGCAAGTAGGTGAACAGAATAGCATAACTCGGGGCGAGTGATGGTTAAGTAGAGGAGACGACCAATGAGACGACGAAAATGTGTCGGATCCGTGACGAATGGGGCCATGGATTCCGCTAAGTGGGTCCGCTGCTCCATATGAAATGTGGCTGGTTTCGCTGCTGTGAGGCCACAATCAGATAAAACCTCTAGCGTGTATTTGCGTTGGGAAAGAAACAGACCATCTGTTGTGCGGAAGACCTCGAGGCCCAAAAAATATTTTAGTGAGCCCAAATCCTTTATCTTGAAGCAACTAGCAAGGTAGGATTTGAAGGTAGAGCAACGGGCCGAATTATTTCCGGCAATGATGAGGTCATCCACATAAACAAGGACCACTAATATATCGGCACCCGAGTGGAAAGTGAACAATGAATAATCAGCCTGCGACTGTGTGAAGCCATAAGTTCGAAGAGCAGTGGCAAATTTGGCAAACCAATTTCGGGAAGCCTGGCGCAAACCATTAAGAGACTTGCGACGTCGACATACCGAATTAGGAATCGAAGAGGTGTACCCGGGTGGAAGACGCATGTAGACCTCTTCTTCCAGATCACCGTGAAGGAAGGTGTTATTCACATCCATCTGATGCAGGTGCCAATCTCTGGCCAAGGCAATGGTGAGGAGGCAACGGACTGTGGTCGATTTGGCCACGGGAGAAAAAGTCTCATGGAAGTCGAGACCCTCAATTTGGGTAAAGCCCTTTGCGACCAATCGAGACTTGAAGCGTTCAATGCTTCCATCAGAATGTCGTTTGATCCGATACACCCATTTGCAACCAATCGGTTTCTTATCGGGAGGTAGAGGCTGGATCGTCCAAGTGCCATTGTCTTCAAGAGCACGAATTTCATCTGTCATGATAGTACGCCAACGAGGG